AGATTTTGATGCAAAGGTCGGTGACCATGCATTTTCATTTTCAACCAATCAGCATTTCCAAATTTCATGGAATGAAAAGGGCAAGTAATTGTATCACTGGTATGGTTTAAATGTTGAGGTGATCAACAATAATCTTACCTGTTGTCGAGAGATTTTATTACCACGTCCTTCTCTTCCCAAGTCAATGTCAACAATCGCATCTTCAGTTGCTCTACCCAATAAAACCTGCAAAAAAAGATAACTATGCATTAACAGATTCAACCCATGTCTGGCTTAGAAACCATTAGTTTTCATCTTCTTCCTCTGGTCCATAATATAATACATTGAAACCTCTATTGATTGAAAAAGATAAGTTCAAAACCTTATGATTGAATAAGGGTTGTGAAAGCTTTAATAAAAACAATCATAATCTATTACTCTGGTCCTTTTCCATTTTTTCGGGAAAACTATGCCCATCACTGCAAAATACCTAGACAGAACTCCTGCTTGACAATTTAGGAGAGTCGTTAAGTAATACACAGAACTCTAGCTCCATAATTCATGAATCACTTCCAAATGCAGATATGGGGTGAATACCCAATACCAACCCCAGATACAGAAAAAGGCAAAAGAACAGCCCTCTTAGCCAACCCCAAGTAGTTGAGTTAGAATTCATAGAGCAAAGAAATACCTCTGGCTTCTTAATATAATGCTTAGAATGACGCCCATACAAAATGGCAAATGCTCCATGAGATGCAATGGCTCTTTGCAAATACGAATAAGCACCCTGCTCCAGCCTTATGATTCTCCTCTCAGTGTCCTCATGCTGATATCTTGAGACTGCACATAGAGAACTTCTTAAAACTTACAAGGCATATGATGAAATCGTTTTGCATATCTTATTTGGATAAAATTTTAGCTGAGCCACCAAGGAACAAAATAGACAGATTAAGATAATACTGAAACAATATGGAAAAAAGGGTAGGGAAAAGGGAAATCGTGAAGCAAACTATATGTATAGCAATAATAATTCCTACATAGTTGAGTAGATATCATATCATCTGTCAGTTAAGCATGCATGTCACATACAATTAAACAAACATCTGAAGAAGCAAGCTTATAAAACACAGAAAATTCCAAACCCAAGAAAAATAAATGGATTCAATCATTAAACTAACACATTAAATTAATGTGTACCAGTTTTTAGAGGATTTGACTGGCAAAAGAGAAGTGCATATAAGTTCTTGTATAAAAAACTTAAGTACTCAGCTGGTCATCAAATGAAAAACAGCTAGACTGAGTCTTACCTTCCTCATGAGAATGCAAGTCCTGGTCATCTGGATCCAAATCCATATCAAGTATCTGCAGGTGGAACAATAGTCAAGGAAACTGAAAGATAAATTAAGAAATTGAAAGCAAAATAAACACCTATCAACTAGATGATGGGCGTTTAGGACTCACCATTGCCTCTATATCCGAATAACATGGTACATCATCATCACTCTCAAAAAGCCCCAGTTGATATGACGTCCGTGGGCTTAATTCTGGTTCTGAGACAGCATCATGCTCGGGCATCACTTCTGCATGTAATGCTTCATGATCTCTACTTGTAGCAGTTGGATCAAGCTCCTGTTTACTGACACGAGCATTTGTCCGAGGATAGCTTTTAAAGCTATTATAATCAAGATCTGGCTTCTCCATATGAAGCTCAGTTGAGTTATAGCTGAGGTGCTTTGCCAATATACTTTGTCTAGTCTCTTCCTTCAGAATTCCAGGTACAGGATTTGTATTTGGATTGGCTGAATAAATCTGACCCAGACCTTCACTCACATGACCTGGATTCTTAGAAGCCACTTCACTGGGGTCAGTCTTGGACAGCTCAAATTTAACCCCAAAATTATCCAGTGGAGGTTTTGGATTCATTTCTTGTAAGCGGTGTGATCCTTTAATCAGAGAAGACCTATGAGGTTCTCCAGGCTTTTTTTTCTCTGTGCGCATAAAGCACGGCCCTGTGTCACTATTTCTTTGATTGACTGGTAAATCATTACTGGATGAAGATATTAGCTTATTCACTTCTTGCAAATCCCATTCTACTTCAGAGAAAGTTGATGACTGAAGAACATGATTTGGTAGAAAAACATCATCATTGCATGGAATTTCCAAGTCCTCGGTGTTTAATGTGCAGCAGATAACTCCATCTTTCAGTTCAGGATATTGATAGTTTGAAGCTGTTGAAGATGATTGCATCAGAGTCTCCGAATGACAAGCCATATGTTCATCAGCATTTTGGGACCCCTTAGTGTCATCTACCACTCCAGGATCCGAACTAGATGGATTCATGGAATACAGCACTAGAGTTACAGATGTTTCTGGCTCAGTTATATCAATCGTCTGTTCTTGACAAGCATCATCATTTGGTGAACTCAACAAAAGTGAGCTCAGGCCATCATAGTAAGACTTATCAATCACGTCTTTTCCATCAGCAGTCATGAGCATGAGCTCCTCATTAGTAAAGTTTAAAAGTGAATTGGACAATTCTGCCAAATAACCTTCAGTGCTCGCAGGAGCTGCTGCACTCTTGAAATCACCACATGGCATGTCAGCTTTCACCTCCATCCCCAGTTGAACATCATACTCTGATGTTCTTGTGTTGTTAGCATCAATATCATCAGGAAGTTCAAGATCAACATCAACATCAACATCAACTGGCATAGCTGGTTCTGCACCTGTTCTCCAGATAGGCATCCCAGGAAGTGGAGATGAATACTCCAAGTTGTGAAACGATGCACCATTGTCTGAAACGGATGAATTAAAGGCTTGGTTCCCTTCAAACTTTGTGCACATATTTCCATCGTCATCATTAATTTGATCAAGTGTATACGGAGGTTCCATTCCTAAGTCATCAGCATTGAACAGGCTGCACCCTGGCAATTCCTTCGGCTGATTGAATTCCTCCACCTCAGATCCATTCCTTGTGAAGGGCATATTGTCTCCAAGAATGTGAGGAACTTCTTCATGTATATTATCCTGTTCCATATGAAAATCATTTTCAGCTGGAATCTGGAGTCTTGTATGAAAGGTATCAGCAGTAACTACACCGCCAGTGTCAGTGCCACCATCCATCAGATTTTGAAGAGTATCCATATCTGACCTCTCAAGGTCAATAGGGGTCGGATGTCCAGTCATGCAATTTCCATAAAAAGGCTCATCTTCATTTCCAACATAATTATTATTACTGGGTTGAACAAGAAAATTAAGGCCCATGGAGTTAAATGGCTCATTACAGATCCTTTTACGCAGAGCATAGTAACTACTGCGTACACTTTCAGCTTTTCTCTTTCCAGATTCACATTTGTTTTCTTTTGAATTTCCTGGTCTATCTACAGGGAGAGTTGGAGTGGAACACTCGAACTCAACCATGCGAGCAGAAGCGTTGGCAGAAACAACCGGATCGTATAGGAGAGAATACCACCGATCTTGCAGTTCATGAATAGTAAATCTTCGAGAAAAATGCACTGCCCCTTTAGCAAGTGACTCCAAAGAAGCACCAGCCTGAAAACAGAGTAAAAGAGTACCAAATCCATTAAAAGTTTGGAGAATAGATATAGTTGCAACGTAATATGACAGCAGTTATAACATATAAAAATTACTAACTTCCTGAAATTGTCCTTGTATGATGAATTTATTTATGGTCAAAAACAGCGCACTGAAAAATGCCAAATCCTAATTTAATTCTGAAAGGGGCACCAGGGCAATTCCACTCATACCCGGCACACTTAATAGTCGTGAATTAGGCTAAGATACAGCATACGTCAGCAGGGAAACCAGTGGTAAGTTGCTAACAATGATTCTAGCACAGGAAAACATTATTTCACCTTCCGTTATGTCTAGCACATTTGTCCAATTTCTTGGTTCTATTCCTTGAAATTTAACTCCATGGCACGGGCTATTAGATATTTGCAAAAGATAAACCTGGAATGCCTTGTTCAAACAATTCATGCTCTAACACTAAAAATCCAAAATTTCATAACAAATAATAGATACAAACATAATATTATATGAAGAAAAAAATGCCAACGAAATCCAGGTCAATACGCAAGGATAGATTGGAGCAAGAGGATCAAATTTCTCGAAATGGGTCGCAAGAGGGAGCCAATTTAATCAACATAATAAAGAAAAAAAAAATGAAATTTGTACCTCAACCGCGTTCCTGAGCAAAATATCATCCTCGGGAATCCAAGGAGAGAATGGAGCAAGAGCACTCATGGCTTGACTACCCATGAGCTAGCCTCTCTCTCTCACTGCAGAGTGTGCGTGTCCTCGGTGACGGACTGAAACATTGAAAAAGCTTGGAGAAAGGGAACGAAGAAAAGAGGTGAAAGCGACGAAGAAGGCCTTGGACGCTTGGAGGGGTTTTAGAGGGAAAGAAAAACCAAAAAAGCAAAGGTTTTACAGAGGTTTTGTGAAACGTGGACAACCAATTCGGTGTCCTCAGCTTCTCTCTCGGGTCGGGTCGGGTGACCGAGATTTCAACGTGGTGGGGTTTTGGGGGGGTTTAGGGCACGTGCCAACTCCCTCAGCCCTTTTCTCTCTTGTTCGGGGGAGAGAGAGATAGAGAGAGAGCGTATCCGAGTGGTAGAGTATAACTGGACTTGCAGGTTGCCGCGGACTCTTTGCTCCGTACACGGGTTGACCGTTGACCAAAGAGTCCCTCCTCCAAATTATGTGTCCTTTTTTATTTGGAAGTGATGATGAGAATTCGGGAAGGCATGTGTTAAATTTTTGCTTTTAGTTTGGTGAGAAAAGGCATGTTTTTGGGTACAGGAAATAATAGTGCTCTAATTACCAAATTTGTTCATCAATTTTGGGCATCTAATCTATTAATGTGTTTGGCTGGCTGGTTGAAATTGGAAGTTCCAATGTCCTCTTGCGGTTCTTCCTATTCTTTTAATTTTAGTTTAAGAAAAGTTATGATCTAATTTTGGAAGTGAACCAAAAAAACAAAATTATGGACACGATGATTCACACAAGTTAGACCATCAAATTCCAAGCTTGGAGAATTGAGCCCTCCAGAAATCAAAGACATCTGAATATTTAGAGAAAGAAACGACCTTTGACGAAAAGGCCAGGCCTTTAAAGTCAGAATATCTTCATCAACAACAGCCATTGTTTGTCGAAGCTAAACCAAGCAACTATTTTCATTTTCAATCAACAATACAATACATGGGTAATTAACCAAACTGTTATTTAAATTCCTGGGGTGATATCAGTCTCAGAGAGAGGTGCCCTGCCTGCCTGCCTGCCTGCCACTCAAAGTCAAAGCAAGGCATAGGTGGTGGTGACATCTGATCCTGCTCCACTGTGAAGGCTAGGATGGCATTGGCTATCCTGCAGCCTTAAGCAAATATGCGAGGGCCTCCATTTGATGAGTAGCCAAAAGCAGATTCATAATCCTCTCCTCCATTCTCAACTAATCTATAATGTGTGTCGTCCCTTGCATCCTTAATCAAACCAAAAGTATAAACAAAACAACAACAAAAAGAAGGCTCTTTTATAAACAGAGGTTAAAAACCGAAGAATAATATATTTGAATCACTAAAAGAGAATATTAAGCTTTAAGGCACACTGCATACAAATTCATGGAGATTCCTGTTCATTTCTGTTGCACTCCGTAGCTGTAATCAGGTGAGGAGGAGAAAAAAAAACAGAGATTCAATCAGTACAATCTTACAACCTTATGAATAAGCTAAAGCTATAGATAGAGCTAGCTCCCGGAAGGAACCCTCTACTACCCACTGAAAGGACAAACACAAATCAATGGACAAAAGGGGTCCAATTACATATACTTGTCAAATAGCGTTACCTTTTTCTTCGTAGTATCAATCTGGTTAGAGATCATTCGAATCTGTCCATTGTTGTACAGATACGCAACGTTAGATTGGGAAAAATACAATGTTTCACAAGTCACATGCAGTGGAGAACAATTAGCAAGAGTCTGCTAGACAGGGTAATGGGGCATCCACAACAAACAGAACAACAACTATGGCTATAGAGGGTACTATATAGCTAGCTAACACTGTTTCCACCTTTGCAGCTGCAACAACTTCCTGCCTGTTTATGCTTATATGTACTCATGTCTCGTAGCTAGAAATATGAAGTACAAACTGGCAAAATGGATGGCAAAATGGCAAAGAAAAAGAAGCATGTCCACTTACACCTATAACTGCAAGGGGGAAGGCCAAAGTTGATCTGAGAACCTCTCAAACAGTGACTTAATAATTGTTGGTATTTTCATTCAAACTATATGTATCAGCTTGGCAATGAATACTTAATCTATAATGATCTAATGAGACAACTGAAACTTTAAAAGTAGAGCTATTCTTTTGGAAAGACAATAAAAATGAATGTCGTTCTACTGAAGGAACTTATTTGTATACTGTATATTTTGTTGTGTTGTGTTATGAATTAAATCACTCATCCTAAAAAAGTAATAATAAAGAAACAACGACCAGAGTACTAAGAGCTAGAGCAATGACAACAACAATCATAATAATTAAAGAACTGGAAACCAAAAGATATACACGTACAACCTTGCGCTTGCGAATAACATCAACAGCGCCTTCCATTTCTTGCTCAACACCACGCAGTTCATCAAAACTCATATCGTTCAAACATTCACCTAGCACCCTTTGCCTATCAACAGACATCACGCGCATTATACTTTAATTTGGAAAAGAATGAATAAAAAAAAAGCAAGAAAAATAAGGCCTTTATATTATTAATTACCTGATCTGCTTCTGCAGACTCCTATTCACCTCTTTCAGCTTCTTCAAATGCTCTTGCATTGCCTGCACACATAACCACACAATTATATACATATATATATATATAGAGAGAGAGAGAGAGAGAGAGAGAGAGAGAGAGAGTAATGATGAATGAGAAACCTCATAGTGCGAGCTCCAAATATCGACTCCCTTAGTCTTCTGGAACTGGTCGAAAAATTGCTTTGTTCTAAACACAAATTTATGATATAAGCAAGTGAAAACAAAAAAACAAAAAAGCTCATTGTAGACTAGCTAGCTAGTTGAAGAAAAACCTAGCTACTAATATAATAGGGTTGGAGAGATTTACGTACGTGGTGGAGGGGCTGATGTATTCATGGATTTTTCCGGAACTTGAAACCATGATGAGAGAAACGGTGGCATCACAGAGAACAGTGAGCTCATGGGCCTTCTTGAAGAGCCCGTTCCTTCTCTTGGAATAGGTCACCTGCCTATTGGTCGCGTTCTCTATCCTCTTGATCTGGATCTTACCCCTCGTCATCTCTCTCTCTCTGCTTTGCTTTCAATCTGATCTGAAACTGGAACAATTAGGTTTTATAGAACAAGGCAAGAGGCCCAAATGTATTAAAGAGCAGATTTTGAACTAGAAGAGAAGGCCATTTACCAAAAATGGAAAAGGGTTAGGCTTAAACTTGGACTGGTTCAAACGTGGCAATCTCATTCTGGGTTTGCTAATTGGTTCGCATTTCGATGTGGGGGACCAATCAATATACAAACAATATTGATGGAGATGGAGTATCATACAAACACTTTCCGTCCTTCACCCATCACCATCTTTGAAAGAAAGAAATAAATAAATCACGGTCTCCCGTTCTGATGTAACATGCTACGGAGTTTCTTTGACGGAATCAGAGCTAGCTAGCTAGCTCAGACTGAGACTCCCAGGCGGGCAGGCAGGCAGGGCTTGCTTTATGAACTCATTGTAAAACGACGATGGAGAAGCGCGCTCTTGTTTATGAAAACCAATGGTCAAAGAGAAGTCATGGTCGATGTAATCAGCTGGTTTAAATATGGAACCTCTGGATTTTTGCTTGCAGGCATAGTATAGTAGGGTCGTAGCTGGATCAAAATAGCTTTGCGTCCATTACGAAATTTGTAGATGTTAACGTTGTTTCAAAACTTCAAAGTCGAGTCATTTCACGTCTCTCAAACCTCTAATCATATTTGACCCACCCCTAATCTTACCAAGCCTGTCACATAATGGGCCGCGATTATGAAGGCTATGGCCTACCTAGTCGCTTATTGGGCTCTGTAGTAGGACTAAGACCAACACTGAGCCCAAATCCGTCTTGCTTCTTTTTTTCGTATTGGACCCTTACAACCAACCTCTTGTGTTCAATTCCGGTTCCCTCAATATCGCTTGTATTTGTTGAACTATGACAAATGAGGTTTTCAGTTGAAGACATACATTATATTAGTTTGAGGTAAGATCATGAACGAATGAATTCTCACACTTCTGTATTAGTATATTTGTATGTTGATTAATATCAATACAATTCTATCGTTTTGTTCTTGTCACACTCATTAGCTGTTCGAAAATTACTATATGTATACAACAAAAATGTGCATATGAAAACGGCAGTGCATCATTCATCCTCTCCACTGAGTAACGCAAATGAAAAAGGGTAGAATTTGTAACCAGCGCCCTCATAAAACTTGTTCTGGAACTCCACCCAGTGAAGCCTCAAGGCATGTAAAAATGCACTCAAAGTCTCCATCACTAGAAGCACTCCAACAGTTGCACATATAAAAACTATTATGCCAATGATTAGGATAATGACATTATTGAACCTGCAGTAATTCCCAAGAGACTGATTAATTACTCTGCTTTCTTTTAAGATCTCAAAGTTCAGTAAAACGGCAAAAATATGAAGTAAAAGAACTTACCCCCAGGCTAGAAGTAGAATCTTGTCGTAAAATACACTGGACAGCTCTGAATGAGCTAAACTGAAGAAAGCAAGACAAGGACAAACGAGATGATCATCATCGTAGAATTTATATTCAAATAATCTAAGAAGTATCAACCTTTTTTATTTATTTATGTGCAACTAAGCAAACGCACGCATCGTAGATGCCTAATGAAGTGTGGTTACTATTAAATGATTCTAAGTTCTATGTTGTTAGCCACCTACCTGAGTGCCCATAGACGTAGATATGAAGCTGTATTAGACACTGCTCCAAGCACAAACTCTATGGTATGTATGAGTTGGTGTACAAAGACCTCGGTGAATTCAAATTCCTCATGACCATGCAAACTTTGATGGTGGTCCTCTTCAAGAGGGTCATCACCGCCGTGAAGCAGCGCGTAGGATTGACCTTGGTGTCTCTGAGGAAACAGGATATCAATAAAAGGTATAAATAGAGGATTGTAGAACGCATGAAACATATCTTAAGACTATAGTTTCAAGCGAACCTCCTCATGCTGCTTCTTCAACAGATAAGGCTTTGGAAACAGCATCCATGGCACAGCAACAAGAGCCGATAGTAGTAACAAAATCTGTAATTAAACACAAGGCATTCTTAATATTGGTGTCACACACTATGGTATTGCTTGAGAAATTTTTTGGCCCAATCCAAGGAAATATAACAAAACCTGAAGGAATTTTTGCCCAAAAAAAAGCTGGTTTTCACCCAGATCTTCAGTAGGACTCAAGAACATGTATATCATTACATGATACAAATCAGCTTGTGAACCAGTGCACCATTTCACTATAATTAGGAGTGAAAGGTAGCCAAACAGGCTGTTTAAAAATATAATCTGAGGAACAAATTGGTACCTGAAAGAACATGGATAGATGGTCAAAATTAAGAGAGTAACTCATAACACTTAAACATGCGCTCTTCAGAAGTTTGAAAGACTGAACATGCTCTCTTCATATGCAATAATGCAGGATCAATTTGAGTAATATGGGGCCCGTTTGATAACCATTTCAATTTTTAGTTTTTAGTTTTCGTTTTTTGTGCTAAAGTATAGAGGAACAAGAGGGAGAATGGAAGTGAGAATGAGAGTGGATATGGGATTTAGAGGGAAGATGAGAGGGGAGGAGTAACAAACGGGCCCATAGCTTACCAGATATTCAGGTTATCCCCAAAGAATTTTGCATTAAAGTAACTCAATATGATTCCAAGATTCATCTGGGCTACTCCAAGTAGGATTGACATCTTCATCTTCAACGAGTTAAGAAACGGTAACTCGGACCGGGAACCATGCCATTTAGGATCCACACCAAATGGGTAAGTGCCACGGACCTTACTCAAACCCACTGTAGTAGCATCGCTGCAACAAAATAGAAAAACCAAGTGTAATCAACTCAAATGGGATTGACAGACCACAAATATGTTAAGCAACTCAGACTGACTGTGTACCTGCAGGATTGGTCACGGCACCCATAGGCAGATGGCCCAAATAATTCAAATGGGACTGAAAAGAATTCATTATATATCAATCCTGTGTAAATTGAGAACAGTGCCATCATCATAATAACATAACGGCCGCCAAATGTCATTTCTACGATGTCCCCAAGTTTCTGTTGTCAACAAATCAAGTTAGTAGAACCATCCGGTAATTACAAGAAGCAAAGAGTCCACAATCTACAGTCGCAAATCCATACGCATTACCTGACTAGAAAACTTCCTCTCCCTGATTATGAAATATAGTGTTGCCAGCAACAAGCAAATACCATGGCCCCAATCTCCAAACATCACAGCAAAAAGGAAAGGGAATGTGACAATGGTGTATACACCAGGATTAGCCTCCTGATACTTGGCAACCCTGTGATGATGGTTCCATTAGACAAATTCTTTGATGAATGATCTCATTTGGGAAATGAATAACCTAGTCACTAATAAAATAAGAAGGGATAGAAATGGTCTTCCTTTCTGTTTCCCGGGGGAGACGGAAGACAACAAGTAAAGCTATATAAAATTACGTTTTACCATTATACACCCATTAAAAGAGGGCAATAATAAATTTCCCAAACCTTCCCTAACAGCCCTCATCCTCCCCACTTTGCGACCCCTAATTTTCAGTCCACACCAACTCCAATATAGACCTGATTTCCTACCTCATGATCTTCCTACCAAGCATTGTGCAAGAACTTGTATAGAGACATAACCTGCAAACTGACTCACCCGTATGCATCCACAATTTCTTGAAAAGCAGAAGTGAATTTATTTGTGCGGAAATATGTTGGTGGCGATTCCTTTGTCTGCAAAACCTGGAAAATGGTGCCAACTTGAGAGCTACTATCAAAGGATGCCCTCTGCAACGCATTTTGAATCTGTGACAAATCAAGCCTGTGTTCGTTAAAAAATTCCCTCAAAGATGCATTACACTTGAAAGTGACTCAAGCCAAGTTTAAGAAATTAATATAATTTTAAACATTTTAAAAGGAAACTGTTACAGGATAAAAGAGCAAACCTGGTTTGATGCATCTACAGGACACCAACCTTCTGCAACAAGACACATTTTTGTCACATCAATGCTTAACATGTTTAACGTGTGATAAATGGATTTTTCCTTCTTCACCTATCAAGTCATTAAGGAATCAAACTCAGTTACCAAACAAAGCGAAACTCAGTGACTATGACCAAATAAACATATGGATGGGCATGAAAGTATCCATACAAACATGAAGGAAGAAACAGAAGATAGATGCATAAGCTTTTGAAAACAAACCAGAAGGTTCCACAGCTCATGTTGATGGCCAATTGTCTGTAATAAACTGCTCCTGTGCAAGAGTCCAGCATCTATGGTAATCTTCAGCTCTGAAAGTTTTCCAGACACCTAGAATTAAAGTGGTTATAAAATTCAGAATGCACAGTGAGTCAGTGTTTGTAATTAAAGACAGACAGAGTCAAAATTAGAAAAAATAGAATATTACTGCAGCTAGTCCACCAATATGATCAAGATAAAGCACCACAAGTAAAATACAAGGCCATTGCAAAATGTTTCTTTCATGTCAGCTACATCTATTGTAACGCATAATTGGGGCTTTCATCTACTGCTTTTTATGTTGCACATGGCCAGAACTTACATCAACACTATCCTCCTGTGATTTTCGGTGTGATGGTTTACTTCTTTAACTCTACAAAGCCTCAAGGAGCTTTTTCTAAGCGACTGCTTTTTTCAGCCTTAATGCTATCATTATGTCTTTATTGATCACAAAATGTTTGGGATTTTAGTGATTGTAAATTCAGGCCGTATATAATCGGCCCTTTAAGGAAAAAACTTGAATACAGTATATACATATACCATATAACCGAGCGTTGATGATTGGTACAGTTGGAGCAATATAAACATTCCTTGTTCCATAGTTACTAGAGGGCATTATAGCGCCCACACCAGAAGTCTAATCGATACAATTGAAAAAGAAAAAGAAAAGGAAGAAGCCATCTTAGCAATATAAGTTTCTCAAATACCCATGATTAACACAAGAGAAAAGTGTCAATCTAAACATAATCAAGTTGTGGTATCCTAAAGCTGTTGATTCTACGTACAAAGAGTTAACAAGCACTGAAAAGAATACTGCATACCTCTGCAATCATCTGAAACTGTTTTCCCAAGTCATCTGTAAATGGGTAACGGTTCGCCCCAAAAGCTTCACATATTTTTAGAATTTTATTCTTTGCTCTTTCTCCGGAATAGAAGATGATAAATACATTCTTCTCAACCTGTAATATAGTACTTATGAATTTCAAGAAAAAAAAAAAAAAAGGAGATAGAAATACTGGTACAGAGTTAACTATCCTGCAGGAAGATAAAGGTACCTAGGCATATATGTGCATAGGTAGCATCCACATACACGGAAAAATATTACAGCATGCAGGAAGGTAAACCATCCTGTGTGCATGTGTACTGCCATCAAAAAGCTAGTACGCATGTAAACTACCATG